CCAGGCGAAGGATCCAGTGGTGGACGGGGAAAGGAGCAAAGCTAGGGGTTTGCTTGTGATTTGTAAAGAACTGCAACCCCTTTCTTTTGAGCAAATATATTGTAATGTATTTAAGATTAGGGTGCCAGTAGGATATGATTGTGTGTGTGTGTGTGTGTGTGTGTGAATATGTGTGGATTGTGTGCTTGTGTATGAATTTTTGTCTATTTGCAGACTTATGGCTAGGAAACTTGGTTATGGTGTGTGGTTTTGATGGATTTACTTAGTACACCAAGTTTCTATTACAAGAAGATCTTTATTTTGATATATATGTGATTTTATAAGCAAATGCAAAGTGGTTGCATTGCAAATGGTGTGCTATGGGAAAACATACAGCTTGGATAGAGAGAGTGGGTGCGTGGGCCCCACAAGGAGCTCTGAGCCAAGTAAAAATGTTTAGCATATATATTTATATAAATACATGGTATTTGGATTGATTTGTGACCACTCTTGTATGATTTGTGCATTTTGGGGGTTTAGAGTCCATTTTGGGAAATGGCACCCGGGTGGTCAAATTTTGATGTATGGGGTTTTTTCATCATTTGAATGTTCTATCAGGTGTTTTTAATCTTATTTGACGTGTCCAAAGTGTTCCCACATGTTTGTGACCATTAGGATGAGATTTGGACAATTTTGAAAATGGTTTTTACTAAAAAGCTGTACTTTTGCATCTGGGTGTCCAAATCTTAATCCGACCGTTGGATTTCTCTAAAATTTGGGTCACAAGTAAAACCTTTTATAAGCTTCGTGTGGGCTTTGGAATCACGTTGATCGGATATCGGACGGAGAAATGACGCACTTCAGAATTTGGTCTGGAGGTGCTGTCATGACAGCATTAAATTGCTGTCATAACAGCTACAGTATTGAAGTTGTAACCTGCATAAAATTCAATCCGTCCGTTGAATCTTTTCAAAATTTAGTATGCTAATAGTATTCTTTAAAAGTGACATGTGGCTTTGGAATCACTCCGATCGGAGATCAGATGATGAAATGGTGCACCCCGGAAGTTAGTCCGAAGGTGCTGTCATGACAGCTAAAAAGCTGTCATGACAACAAAAATAGTCAATCTTTTAACATGTCTAATTTTTAATCCGACCGTTGGATCTTTTTGAAATTTGGTACACTTATAGTACCCTTTGAATGTGACGTGTGAGCTTTAAAATCACTTCAATCGGAGATGACGGAACGGCGCCTCCTGGAAGTTGGCCCAGGAGGGCTGTCATGACAGCAATAAATTACTGTCATGACAGCATCTTTTTATTCCATTTTCGTCTAACTTGCTTCCGTGCGCTATAGGTAGAACCTATAATTATTGTTAAGGTTTTAAATGATTTATTTCTTAAGTTGGTTAGAGTATCAACTCCTTAACCACACTTAGTTTGTTTGAATTATGTGATTTTTGGATAACACTCGAGGCAAGTGTTACAACTTTCTTCCCAGTGTGAAGTGCCTATTTATATTTGTCGACCAACTAATGAAATGCAAAATTAACAAAAAAAAAGTTTAAATAAACTTAAAAATGGTGACCTATATGCATGCATGCATTAACAGGCCACTTCCAATAAAATTCTTTATAATATGTTAAAATAGCATTGATTAAAACGAAGATTAGTTCTATTCTACCAACTTTACGTAAGCAATATTGGATGAGGTTCATATAGAGACTATTTTTCCAGTCTTTTGATGGAATATGTTGTATCAATGTGATTTTAAGTCTATTTTAACCTGAGATTTGAATGTCAAGTTTGAAATGATTATTATATAAATTCCAAATTGGCTTGCCATGTATGAACACACGTCCAAGCATAATTTTGGTCTTTTATTGGCCCACTCATTCACATCCGAGAGGTTAATTGACACCAATCAACGAAGGAAAATCCACGAAGAAAGAATTAACTAAATTTATTAATTATCAATATGCTAATTAATTATATGTACACGTGTCACTAAATTTATTATCACCCCATGCTGCCATGCAAATAGCTAAAAGCAATTTTAAGAAAAATTTTAAATTATAAAATGATGTTATTGAGTATTATTATTATTATTATTATTATTGCTTGTTTGGCAGTGAACTGGCTTGTTAACATTCTGTATCATGCATGAATGTGCTTGGCCAATGACACATGTTGTGTCTTTTTCATATCATTCAACATTTTCTATTTGACCAATGATACAAGAGTATCAGGCGGTAATTACAAATTATTGAAAGGCAATTAAAAAGTAATAGAGACTTCAATTATTATTTTTTAATTAGATTTTCAATTCAAGATCTGTAAATAAAAAGCAAGTATGGAAAAGAACTTGGTCTTCCTCATTAGCTTAATAAGGTCGTTGATTCAAATTAATTGAGATTCGACGATTTAATTGGAAATTAAGGAAACAAGTACTCCCTTCAATCCTTTTTTATTATAAGTCACTCCTAACTCAGTGTTAGAAAATAAAATTGTCTTACAAATAAATTATTTTCTAATTCTGTCCCTGGATTTAAAAAGAGTGGTTTGATGTGTGGGAGTAGTTTTCTTGAAAATTAAAATAGTACATTTCTTTTCAGAATTTGTTGGAGAGTATTTTTGAAATTATGCATCAAATGTTAAAAAAAATGACTTAAATAAATGATCAAGAAAATTTTTCAGAACGTGAATAATAAAAAACATTGGGGGAAGTAATTGCCAAGTCTTAAGTTTGGATTTATGTTTTTTTGTTCTGCGTTAATTATTCTCTCGTGATTAATGATGCATTCAATGATGATCGAGGCCAAATAATTAAAAAGAATTATTGTTGGTAGGTGTTTTTATCACCGAATGTCATGTGGATGGTTCCTGGACTTATTCAGCAAGTTAATTACTTTTGATTTTATTTATAAATTATTTTAAACATGTTTCATTGAAATTAAAAAAATTTAAAACTTATTAATTATGTTTAAAAATTTAATAAGTTTTCAACTTTATCTTTATTAATATACATACTTTAATAATACATTTTTTATGTCCAATATTAAATTCAAGGTAAAAGGAAAAATTTGTGATAAAACTTTATTGATGTAAATTACAAATAAGATAAAAAAAATTTTTTATCTTATAAATAAGATTAGAGAAGTAACATTCTTTGAACTTATGAAAGAAAGTTGATGGTGAATTTCATATAATAATATATACATTTAATTTATATGAATTATTTTATCAAGGAATTTTCAAAATTGTTGGTAAAAAAAAAAGGGATCTTCAAAATTAATTAAACACATATAAATTTCTTTTTTCTTCTCAATATACAAGGAGATATTCTTGGCAAAGAAGAGAAAATGAGGCAAGAAACCCTGATCAAATGTGAACTCAATACTAAGTGTCAAACAAATAACTTGTGAAGGTACTGTAAAACGATAATACTTCCTCCATATGATATTTTTTAATATATATTTAAGATTATTAAATGAAGAGTATTTTTAAAAATGTATATTTTTATTTAAAAAAATGAGGTTGTTAAATATATTTAATAAAATTTATTTATATATAAAATTTTATTTAAAAAATATTTTATAATTTAAGATAAAAGAAGTAATATTTTCCTTGTCAAGTAATAAATTATATTAATGTGACTAAAATATATGCCGTTCAAAGAAAGAAAAGCGAAAGTAACCGATTGGATTTTGGTAATAAAAAAACCAATTGGATAATTAATGGCAGAAGGACATGAGAGAAAAAGGTGAATATCATTAAAATAATACACTTTAACTGGCTTTAAAAAAAAAAAGAAATACGCTTTTGTTTAATTTCCCAATAAAAAATTATGCCCCTGTCGACATTCATGCACCCCACGATTTAACTTTTATGGTAAAAATCGAAAGAGGAAAAAGAAAGAAAATTATACAGAAAGAAAGTTCACCCTATCGACTCACTGTTTCGTTGATTCGAATCAAATTAATTATGACAAAAAAAAATAAAAGGGAAAAGGACAATCAGAGAGAGACCCAAATGAATATTAATTATATTTTTCAAGTAACATTTTAAATAATCCCAACTATATTTTATTCATTTCTTAAGTGGATTGTCTATATATTAATAATAAAATATTAAAATTTACAACTGACTTTTATAATTTGCTAACTTACAAATAGTTTTAAGTATATTTTATTAATTTTTTAATTGATTATTTATATTAATTGCAAGTAAAAATCATGATTTAGTATTAAAATTTTAATAATTTAAAATTTATAAATGTAATTAATATTTTTATGGGATCTATAATTATTATTTTTCCAAAAGCATTTAGAATTGCCTTTTAAAATTTCTAATATCAGTATTAAATTACTTCTTCTATGCCTATCATTTAGTCAAAAAAGCAATGGTAGTTCTATGGGCTGGAATTCAGTAACTCATATTTAAATGGACATACTCTGTTTTAAGATTGTATTTCAAACAGTTTATCTTTCATCAGGATGAATGTATATTTGTAAAGAAAATAGTACATTGACCAAGACTATGTTTCCTAACAAACGAAATGCAAACTTATTAAATTAGGTCAATAAAATATTGTATCTTAAATATAAATAAATAGTATTTTTTATCTCCTTAAAGATATAAATCCTATACTTACTATGCAATTAATTAAAAAAAACAAAATATTGCCGGCCAAATGAAAATTTAGTTCCTCCATCTTCATGTTCTCTCTATATGAAAGGTCTGGGGTTTTCCGCAGCTCCTTGAAGTAGTTTTTTATTTTCTAGTTTAAACTTTAAACTCAAACATGTCTTGCTCAAAAAAAAAAACAATAAAACAACATGTCTTTAAAAAAGTATTTTATTCCGAACTTAATTTTTTTTTTTTTCCCTGAGAAAAACGTGTCGAGAATGTCCATCTCATCCATCTGGTGGGACCCAACCTTCGACCGTGATTATGATTATCGAACTCACACACATATATGTAATTATTTGCCCTTTCGGGGGTAACAATGCAACACAAGAAGAAAAATCATGGCAACCTCGTAATCATGCAAGTCCCCCGGGATTATGTAAGAGCTATTCCGTTCCTAACTCGTCTAGTCTCGGCTCTAATTCCAACCCTTGAACTTTAAATTCGAAATTCTCCACTCTCATTTTTCTTTTACATGATACTCCATTCAGTTTTCACATCTATTTTCAGCTTTTTCCCCTCTTTACCTTCTTGCGCCACCCAGTTTCTTCGATTGGTTGATCTGATACTCTGGCGTGTTGTTCTCGATCTTACCCTTTAATTGCCGACGAAAATCATCTAGTGGCACCAGCAGAGTGAGCTGTGCTTTAGAGTGAATCAGTGACAGAGAAAAGAAGTAATTGTTCGAAATTCTCGTATGGGTTTGTGTGAGTAGTTTTGGGGAAACGAATTGTTCAAAGGTTATCTGAAGTTTTGAGGGCTTTGTTATGCGAGCTATTCCTTTCCGGGTTTTGTGAGGGTGGCTTTGATTTGTGTGTGCATTTGATATGGGTGGGTGTTTTCCTTGTTTTGACAAGGAGGACAGCGGGGTCAAGGAAGTGGTCAAGAAAGATTCTCTTAAAGAAGGTTCAGCTGCTCAGTCTCATCACGTCAATAGGGTTAGCTCAGGTCAGAACAAATGTGGAAGCTTATTTTAACAAAAAATTTTCTCGCTTAATTTTTTATTAATTCATTGGCTTTAACTATGTTGAATTTTGCATTTTTCGCTCGCCTTGTTAGTTTTGTGATGATGTATGTGGTTCAAATTAATGAGCACTTTGATCTGATTCATCTGACTATTGTACTTCCACTGCTACTATTAATGATTTGATGGTCAATGGATGTCTCTTTATTTCTGTTTGTTGCATTCTTATTCTTATTAAAGGTAATAAAAATAGCATTGTAGGAGATCTGCCCTTGGCTCTCAATTTTTTCAAGTGTTTCACATTGTGTGATAACACGCTTCATTAAATTACTGTCACCATGTACAAGGAAGATGCAGATGTTAAGCTGCATTTTGAGTAAATTAGCTGGCACCCTGTAAAATTAAATCATGGCAGGATGTAACTTTAAGCAAGATGCCTTGCGTTTCTATAAAGATTGTCCGGTGCATTATCTAGATGATTGGTTAACTTGTTTAGATTCAACTTGATAGTTAACAATTTAGTCATAGTATTTGTGCTTCTGTGTAGTTCTGAATTATTCATATTAGTTGAATCATATTCTGGCAGATTATATGATGTAACCAGAGAAAATCGTAATCCTTTTTGTTCCAAATGTAGATGCTACGACCCCTATTCTACAATGAAGCAGCATATGGTCGCTGTAACCACTGTTCCCAAGTATTCTATGCTATGCCATTTAATCCTTATATGACTGCATATTTAACATCTCCTCTTCATATTTATTTTCTAGTTTCTTCAATGTATATTTTTCTGTTTCTTTCTCTCTAGCTTATTTTTAAATCATTTATATACTACATAGATAAAACAAAATCAAGAAGTGGCTCTGATTCTAAGAAGGAATTGCCAGTTCAAAAGGATGGGCCAACTGCCCACATTGCTGCACAAACTTTTACATTTCGAGAGCTTGCAGCTGCCACAAGAAATTTCAGGCCTGAATGTTTATTAGGTGAAGGTGGTTTTGGACGGGTTTATAAAGGCCACCTTGAAAGCACAGGGCAAGTAAGTTGTGATTGCTGCTGCAAAGATTGTTGTCATTGAATAACCAGACTGCATCATCATAGCTTACATTTTATGCACGGATTCTATTAGTTCTCAGTTATGAATTTCTATTCAGTCATTAGTCTTTCTCTCCCTTCCTCTCTATGTCTCCTAATCTATGTTGATGGAACAATCTTTCTACAGGTTGTTGCTGTAAAACAGCTTGACCGCAATGGCCTTCAAGGAAATCGAGAGTTTTTGGTGGAGGTGCTCATGCTTAGCCTCTTACATCACCCAAATCTTGTGAGCTTAATTGGTTATTGTGCTGATGGGGATCAGCGGCTGCTTGTCTATGAACTTATGCCTTTGGGGTCTTTGGAGGATCACCTACATGGTCAGATTGCATTCCTTTGTTACTGTAACTAGTAGTGCCTGACATATTGTGCTTTCAAAAGTTAAAATTTCATTTTTATTTGATTTTTTACTATGTATTAGATTGCATGTTAAAGAGAGAAAAAAGATTGAGGTGGAACAATAGAACTAAAAGGTAGTTAGTGAAGGAGCATCATCAGACTGTGTTGGATGGATGTTCATGCTTACATTTATTGGTATGGGACAAAACTATTTTGTTTTAGGCTTTTACCTTGTTCTTTACTTAATAATAGTTTGAGGGGTGTTTTGGGGGGAATAATAATTGACATGATAGCAGGGAGCAAGAACATTTACTGTCAAGGACGCATGAAATAAAATGGCGATGCATCAAATTTTGTAGTGTGTCCCAAGAGATAATGTAATTTTTGGACAACCATTTTAGGCTTTTGTTAAATGAATGAAACCATCATGACAAATGAAATGTGGATTATAAATGGTTATTTCAAATTACCAGATGGTAGATGTCATCACTTCTACATTTGTGTTGCCAATTTATGATATTTTGTGCTTTAAACTTCTTATGCATGATGCTGCTGTTATCATTGGGATGTCGCTCAGTGTTATCCAGAGATAGCTGGGGAACTAGGACTCAATTAGAAAAGGTGACAGCATGGGGATTAGGGTTGTGATAGGATTAATTAATAGGGCTTGTCTTCCATGGAAAATAGGTCTTGGTAGCTTAGAAAATTAAGGCAAAGAGGACAATGGCAAACAAGGGGAAGGAAATTGGTCGGCAAGGGTATAATCTGATCACAAGACTAAGAAGGGAGCGACATGCTGCTGTCATTCGTAAACTTGATCATTCCTATAAAAGAGAGCATTTAAAAGTCTAAATGAACTTCTTACTTATCCTCCAAGAATCAGGTGTTTGCAGCCACTTAATTGACTGTGTTGGGAATATATCTATTGGCTAATATAATAATTTCATTTTATATCTTGTAAAGGAGAGAGACATTATTTGGGAGCAGTAGGGTCTGAGAAGATACTGCTATTCTAGTGCCAGGAGTGTCTTAGTCTTTTGAATACCAGAAGGGGTGCACAGCATCCATATTCATTTCTGTTTCTTCTTTACATTTCCAGTTTTATAAAGATGTCAGTTCTAATCAATGTAAGAGTCCTTGTCCTTCTCTTGGGCGAAGGTCTGGAATTTCTATATAAATAATGAAGAGTTGGAGTTCCGTCACTTCCAAAAGTTAGAAATCAATAGCAATAGTGGTTTTGACTCTCTGCAATATGAAATCTGTAATTGAAACTTGGACTCTACAGCTAACCCAGCAGATCTTGAAAAGGAAGCCTAATCCAAACGCATCCTAGGAAAGACAAAAGATTACTAAATGTCCTAGGATTGAATGTGATAATTACATAAGATAATGCAATCTTGGTAATGATAGATAATTTTAATATTTTGATTTAATTCAATTAGTTCCATAATTTTAAGTAAACGATATTATTGAGACAAATTATTTATAGCTAGCCTTTCTTGATGCTAGTGAGTCTAGCTTCATTCGCCCTTTGTTGAGGAAAAGCTGACCTTGAATTTGAAGCATTCAAAGTAGGAGGAATTCAAACTAGTTGAACACCCTTGGTATGACATAAGAATGGTGTCCTTGATAATTGATTTTACTTGGCTCTATTGGTTGTTGAAGTGAGGAACAACGATAATGTATGGACAGTTTTGTCACTTGCACTGCTTATATCTACAAAGCGCCAACCCTTGGACTTGAACTTGGGGTTGCTTCTATTGTATCTATTAATGTTTTTTTCTTTGGTGAAGTTTTTGGTATTTTCAAGGATGACTCCAATTAAGTGGTTGGGAAAGTCCTTAAAGGGCTTGCTAGTATCAATAAATTTATTAGCTGTGTCAACTTTTCCAAATCTAATAACTTATTACTCTATTGGATCCTCTAATGCTTGACCAATAACTAAATTTTCCATTCTATAGATGCCACGATTTTATCCCCTGATTTTTTTTCTCCCCTTCAATTGTATTATTGTCAAGCAATTTAAGACCATGCTTTTCTCTTTTGGTCTCAGATTGCTACTCCACACTCTCTTTGTTCTGTCTAAACATTGTCTTACAAAACTTTCTCAAAAGTCTACTCATTGATCTTGCTGTTCTAAATTGCTAGTCGACTGTGATGCCTTCTTCAGGAACTTCCACTAGCCTATTCTGCCTGTGGGTTCTGTTTGCAGCAAAACGTAACCCTGTAAGTGCTATAAAATAATGAGCAACAACAATTGACAGCTTGGAATATGATAGGACGCCACTGCTTTCACTGAAACAAACTTGGTAGTCTCCTCCAATGAATAGGAAGAAGACTGAAACAGAGATAAACTTATGTTAACAGCACACCACAATCACAAAGCTAGCAATGATAATCACATAAGGGAAAAGAAAATAAGAGCACACTGACAATAGCTTTTCTGTACCTTTCCCATAAAATATCACCTTCTACTAATACACACTAACCTGATGCTTCTGGCCAGGGTTGTTATCCCTGATTCAGACCATTCTGCACCTCACTCTCCAGCATATTGTCATTTTGTGTTTGGCTGGATCTTTCTGTTTCCTAGCATGCTCTTGCAGGCTCCAGCTCCTTTGTGACCCACTTTGCCTCTCCTTTGATAAGCTACCTTCCACAACCCAGTGAACCGATCATGAAATATGGCTGTATCATCTTTTGTAGTGTGTATCCTTCATTGCATCCTTAGATCAAATATTCGAATTGTCCAGCAACCCTGCGTTTTGGTTTTGCATTCAAAGTTCTTGGTTTATTCTACACTAGCCTTGTTGAATTTTCTACAGATGGTGCAGGCTTACCACTTTCAATATGGCTCTTGATTTTGTACTCCCTCCGGTCCCATGTATAAGTCACATTTTAGAATGTCTATTTGATCCCATTTATAAGTCACGATGCGGCTTTTTAGGTAACATTTTAAAAAGTATTTTAAAAATTACCCTTCATGAGAGAGAAAAGGTAACATGACATTATTTTTTAGATTTGTTATATAGATGCATATTTGGAATTCTACACACTCTTATTCCTTGTGCTTTTTGCATTAGTATTGATGAGGTGGGTAAAAATGACTTATAAAGAGGATTGAAGGAGTATTTGGCAAATTTCTCTTGTGGGGCTTGATAGTTATTCATCTTTGCTATTGTCATATGCTTCAAAACCACATTCATGTAGAGCCATCAATGGTAGTCCAGAACTTATAGATGTTTAATAGACAATTTCTGGCACCTCTAGCAATAGTCTCTTGATTCTCATCTTAGGAAGATGCCCTTTGAAACCAGAGGTCAAGGAGCATCTCTCTCTGCCACTTGTATTGGTATGAAAAACTTATTGTTAACATTCACAGGCATGGTTGTCAATTGATGCTGGGGATCGTTGCTGCAATCCTCAACCATGTTTTTGTTCCATGATTTTGAATATATTGTTTTATGGAAAATTCATGGTTTGCTTTAACCCTGACGCCATCAGAAGTTTACTTATTTTACTTACTTGCCCATGAGGGAATAGTTAAATATTTAGTTCCTAATGTTTCTACTCCTATTGCCTTGAGCTTGGTTTGTAAGCCATCTATTGGTGATGTCTGTTGGAAGCTTAGTGTTGCAAGGGCACTGTTTCATTGAAGAGGGGGCAAAAAGCAAGAATTCTCAATTCTCTAGCAATAGACAGTGGGCGTGGCTTTACTATGCTAGTAAATCTTGAGCAGTGCGTAATCAATATGGACAGTAGGAAAGACAAATCCAAGTGATGCTGGGGAAAGTACTCAATACATGAGTTTTTTTTTTTTTTTTTTTTTGGTTGACACAATATATGAGAGTTTATATTTGGCAATGCGCTGAATACTGCACAAAGTGTATTACCTTATATGTGTCTAGGTTGGAATTAATCAGTACCGTCACAAAACTTAAATACATTCTTGCAACTTTTTAGAAGAACATATTTTTCATCAATATGACCTGTAAATCATGATGGGTTGTTTTGTTCATTGTGCATTTCGAATTGTACCTAGATTTAATTGCAAATCAGTTGCTAATGTTGCAGAAGTTTCAAAGCATATTCTAGTTAGTAAAGACATACCAATTGAGATTTGGTCAAAAAAAAAAAAAAGACATACCAATTGAGCGCAGACTAATTTATAAATCTGAAACTTTACGTGTATGTTTCCACGAAGCATACTTTACACCAAATATTGATTTTGTAAAATGTTCCCTATTAAAGATTATTCAATGGTGTGAAATTGATTAAAACCTGTGCTGGCAATCTGGCATCAGTTAAGCCAATGTCTGAATCCTGATATCAGTTATCTAGTTGCAGTCCAACAACAGAGCATTGTGTTACAAACATGGTAAAAGCATCTCATCCTTCAATAAACTTTGAAGCCTTTTAAGTCCATTGTTATCGTTGTTACCTCAAATCTTCAGTGGCACATGTCACTGCTTTTACTTATGCATCATTAAATTGAAATTGACCCAGATGGGGTTTCAGCTCTGACAGTGTACTGAAATTCTTGCGTGGGCATTTTACAGATCTTCCTCCTGACAAGGAGCCTCTGGACTGGAATACAAGGATGAAAATAGCAGCTGGAGCAGCAAAGGGGTTGGAATATTTGCATGACAAAGCAAACCCACCTGTAATATATAGAGACCTAAAATCATCCAATATCCTGCTAGATGAGGGTTTTCATCCCAAGTTATCGGATTTTGGGCTGGCAAAACTTGGTCCAGTTGGTGATAAGACTCATGTATCAACACGAGTAATGGGAACATATGGTTATTGTGCCCCTGAATATGCTATGACTGGACAGCTAACTCTGAAGTCTGATGTGTACAGTTTTGGAGTTGTTTTCCTGGAACTTATTACTGGGCGCAAGGCTATTGATAATACACGTGCACATGGCGAGCATAATCTTGTGGCATGGGTAAGTCCCTGACCTGGTAATCCTTGTGTTTTTCTGTTGCTTCTAAAAGTTTGTCAAGCATAATAGAACATCGGTTTTGATGTTAATCTTTCAACCTGTCACTAATATAACATTCAACATACTTGCCCATCCTTGACATTTATTTCTCTGGGTAATGGAACCTCTTAGGCACGACCTCTATTTAAAGACCGTAGGAAGTTCCCTGCAATGGCTGATCCTCTGCTTCAAGGCCGTTATCCAATGCGAGGACTCTATCAAGCACTGGCAGTTGCAGCTATGTGCTTGCAAGAACAAGCTGCTACAAGGCCTCTTATTGGAGACGTTGTGACCGCTCTTACATACTTGGCCTCGCAGACATATGATCCAAATGGAGCTAGCCACACTTGCCGAGTTGGTCCATCAACCCCAAGGAACAAGGAGGATCTAAAGAACACAGCAGATAGCTCGGGCAGCCCTGATCATGGACGATATTATGAATCACCTTCAACCCATAAAAACTCGCCTGATTACAGGAAGAGAGATGGTAGGGATACAAGTGCTGGGACAGGCTTGGGAAGGATTGAAACTGGTGGGGGCTCAGGAAGAAGATGGGGATTGGATGATGGAGAAAGGCAGGACTCTCAGAGAGACAGCCCTGTAAATGCTGGAAGAGGTAGGGAAACTCCAAGGAACCGTGACCTAGACCGAGAACGCGCAGTTGCAGAAGCAAAAGTATGGGGTGAAAACTGGAGAGATAAAAAGCGGGCAAATGCGAAGGGAAGCTTTGATGCTACAAATGAGTGAAAGCATCAAAACTTTGATTCATTTTACTTTTTATCTACTACTGAAGAGGTGCATGATTGAGTCAGGAAGTAAATTTTCAGGAGGGTCATCCTTTAACATCTTGATTTCATGTCTACCCTGGGAGTAAACGTCATGGTCTAGTTTGGACTAGTCTCCTGCAACATTCTGGTATTATTGATCAAGAGTTGAAAGAAACACAGATGCTGTGAGAGAGAGAGAGAGAGAGAGAGAGAGAGAGAGAGAGAGACTAGTGTGGATTGGGGCATTCAAAGTTTATATCCATGCATGTGCAAAATGTTGGTGCAAGAGCAGAAAAAGGCGTGTAATTTTGCCCCTCTTGCTTGTAAATGGGGGAGCTTGGTGAATTTGTGTGTAAGTCACTGATGTGACGTGTAATCGTACAGTCTCCATTTTACCTTATGGTCCGAGCTTCGTGTTTTCGGCTTATACAAAATGGCTTATTATACTACACTCCGCATGTTTAATTCCTTGTGACCAACTCGAGAGAAGTTCAGCCTCACCAAATCAAAAAAGTATCCATGTTCTCGCGAAGCAGTATATTCCTTCAGAGGCTTAGCCCCCAACTTAAAAAATCAGGGTAGGAGCATAAGCTAGGACAAATAGAAATGAACCAATAGAGTATCGTGTTTACTTGATTAGTGGCGTCATTAAGGAAACTGGGTATGATTCAAGTTTCAGTGCCATAAAATCCAGTGAAATGATTGAAAATGTGCAAGGTCGCGCAATCATGTCACATGAAACTACTACCTGGGATCTCCGATTTCACAGGCTCACGGTTTAGTCCTAATGAATTGGAACATCTAAATAATAGAACAAAGGAACAGAGCAAAAAGGGAAAATTAACTGCAGAAACGAATGCTGGGCAAAGACGCTAGCCAATTGTCGTTCAAGGGGCATGGTTTGATTCAAGAGGAGAGAGGCGCACGGTTTCTTGATTTGGTTAATGATGCTTGTTATTGACCAAGGGTATATTCATCACGATTATACATGTTTATTGATCCTGGACAAATTCTTCGTGCTCTCTAAATTTACGTTTCTAGATAAAAGTGAGTTGAAATACTTGAGAAATAATGATAATTATATTCTCGACAAAACCTTTTTTAAAAAATAAGCTGAAACTATGATTTGGACAATAGTAAAATTAGCAATTTTAATTACAGATAATGCATCTAAATTTCAAATATAAATTATTTTAAATTTTATTCTTATTTAAAACTATCTAAATCAATATATACAACTCGTTTTTTTTTTTAAAAAATATCATCAAAGATCTATCATTATTTTATTTTTTAAGACTCCACTGTCATTCTCCTTAAAAATAATCTAAATTCTAGTTTATTAGAATAACGAGTTTCAATAAAAATAATGGTGAATAGCATTTTCTGTTATGCAAGATTATCCAAATAAAACATCTATAAAATAATTTGACAACTTAGGTCCCATTTGGTACACTGAAATTCTAGTCTTAAAATTGGAAATGGAAATGAAATTCAAAAATTTACTAGTTTGATACGCCAGAAATCAATTTCATATGGAACTCAATTCCACCAAAATTGATGGAATTAGCTTCCATCACAAAAGCTCAGCTCTCCAATTTCATCTTCCCTTTTTCACTTTTTACCCTTTCCTCTCGTCTAGCTCCTATCAATGTTCACCGGCGACCTACAACAACCAATGCGACGACCTCTAACAATCAGTGCTGGCAACCTCTAGCAACCATCAGCGACAAAGAACGATGGTTCCTACAAACATTCAGAGGTCAAACAGAGAGAACAGTGCGTGTGCAAACGGATAAAGGCCAACCTACCCAACCGACATTTCCACGTCGTTTTGCTTCCCTCCCTTAATTATTGAGTCAACCCATGTTTCCCATTACAAATCTCAGACCACCTTCCTCAACGACAATTTCTTTCGATAAGAACCATAATGCAAGGGCCAAGAACAATCTGGATTTGGTGATGGTGAAGAACCTATAGATTGGTCGGGTCTCTAATTCCTCTTCCTCTTCAGCTCTCCTTCATTTCAATTATGCGATGGCTTCAGAAACATGACCGTGACCAAATCTTCTATTCTTCCTTGTCCTCATGCATCGACTTTTGAACGGCGACATGATCTTCAATTCTTCACCATTACCCTCCTCTCCACCTTCAACTACTTTGTTTTGTTGATTGTTGTTCTTAAAGCCTCTTCCATTTGTGTGGTTAATGTTGTTGATGGATGGTATTACCGGTGAGAATCGATGCCTCTGATTGTAGATGGAGATTTTCAGTCTAGAGTTTTTTTAGTAAGGATATTTAGATCTCTTCACATTATATGTATATTTTTAATAAAAATTAAAACACAATTTTATGGACATGCCAAACATATTTTTTAACCCCATATCTATTTCCACTTTCATATTAATTTCCATTATTTCCATGACACCAAACGAGGCATTAGAATTGGATGAAAACACAACGTTCTTAACCTCTTTCCTACTTAAAACCCAAATGGGTCCGTCCAAATAAGGATCAAGTATATATATATATACTTGATATAACACAAAACAAATTGTGAGTTTATATATATATATTATATATATATATATACAACAACAACAACAAGCCTTTATCCCACTAGGTGAGATCGGCTACATAAATTACAAGATGTCATTGTGCTCTATCATTTATCAAACTTTTAAAAATATTATTAATTAAGATATCACGTTCAACAACTTTTAAAAGTGTTCTCTTAAGCCTTCCTCTACCTCTCTTAATCGGACTCAAAGTTATATGTTCCACTCTTCTCACTGGTGTCTTCCTTAGTCTTCTTTGTACATGTTCCACTCTTAGGTCTTCTTTGTATATATATAATGTATATAATATATATATATAAAGAAACACAAAATACAAATAAATTATGAGTTTATATACTCTAACGCGTTAATCATTTCATATAACATAAAATTGCTAGTCTACCAATAAAACACCAGGTTTCAGCCCAGTCCATTCTAATATTCGACATTCCATTTCATCCCCTCAGACACTCAAACAAAGCCTTCAGGATAAAAATGATCACTCCAACTTAGTATTTACAAGTTAGAATTACCTTGGAATCCTGAAAATCCGGACAAAATCTGTGTTGAGAGCGCATTCGCTGCCCCGTTTAAGAAATTTAGGAAAATCAAAAGGTCAACGCAGATCTATGGTCTGATTGGTTTCCTATTTCAGGACAGGGCATAAAAAATATTACTTGTATAAGCATATTCTTTTCAACGGTTGTTAAAATACAGAGCAACATGTTGGCGCAACAAAACGAAACAAAACAAAGCAAAGCAAAGCAATATGCCATCTAATGACTAATGAAAATGAGGCTGTGTTAGATTCATGATTACACTTCCAACACCTAGATTTCACCTCAATCGTTCCTAACTAGCCCTTCGACCTGTCACATGCAGGACCTAAATTTAAAAAAGAAAAAAGGAAAAAAAAAGGATTCTATCACTGGACTTGAGAAGGCAAACCTGCCGCCGTCACACGTTTAAGTAACCAAGTTTTTAGAAACAATCCACCCTCTCCTTAGTCAACGTAACTAAGTGCCGCATATATACATTTATTTTCTCCTTTTTCCCTGCCACAATATCATGGTTAAATTCAGTATATGCACAAGCGAATTCCATGTAATAAATCAGGCTTATAGTTCATAATCTGCAGAGTGTAAAAGCAAAACCGTGCTAACATAGTCATCCATAGTTAACTGTCTGCGCTTTTTCTGCGTTAATGGACTCTCAGTCTGTCTAGCTGAACCTCGTTTTGATGGGGTCATGCTCTGAAAGATTTATCAAGCTATGCTTCAGCAATCAAATCATTAAAAAGAAAACAAAGTTTACTGAACTCTTCTCATCCTTGTCTTTTTAGGGGAGAAACAGAAACAAACCTTAGCAAGTTTCTTCTCTTTACGAGCTTGTCTCTCTCTCTCATCGTATTCTTGGTTTTCCTTCTCTACCAACCTAATGAGGGTGTCACATCTCCTAGCGAGCTCCTGTGTCGTGCGAGACTTGACAAACCAATCAAATCTAAATAAAGGTGATGTTCGAAATGCCGCCTTCAACTCATCCCAATTCCCATAACCAAGTTTGTGAACCATGCAAATCTGCAAATTAATAACCACAATCAAAATGACTACAGGGTCCATGAATAATCAAAATTAAATAATCTTAGGTAAACAGAAAGACAGAAATCACACCATGAATCTATCACATTCTTCATTGTATAACTTCCCCTTGTTTTGCCCATATTGTATCTTCAACTCTAGCCATGGATTCCTGTATCGATCCAACTTCTTCCCAATAGCTTTCATGATCTCATCTTTTCTAGAAATTCTAGCCTCCCCTCTTTCAATGTTTTTGATAATTCTATCATAATCTGTGAGCATTTGACAAAGTCCAAAACTTAATTTTGAAATTATAATGAGAAATTGATTTCAAGATTCAGTTCACAAAACATATTTAACCAGAACAAGATTACGCTGCAGTTAGGTCCAACAGATTCCAATTGCAGTCCACATCAACCACCATAAACTTTTACATAAGTACAAAAAAAAAAAAAAGACCTTTAAAATTACTATGGATTACAACTAACAAAACCACATTCAGCATCTGGCAAGGATTTTGCTGAAGAAAAAGACAGCAGTCAGATTACCATAATTTAACAAGCACATTCATGATCAGGATATTAACAGGTTACTACAATATTCATATTTTTAACATTGTAACTAACCATTTAACTCCTTATATCTTTCTCTGAAAACCTTTGCATATCGTTCAACTTCCTCCTCTGACTTTCCTTCCATCTCAGAAGCAATACTCTTTATATCATTTCGGCCATACTTTTCACAGGCTCTGATGAAAGTATTGAAATCCCTTCGGCTCCATGAAGAAAATCCCTATGTTTACCCCAACAAAAAAGGTTAAAATAAGGAGACCAAAAGGGAGTCCAGTTTATGTGCAAAATCCACTCACCTCCTCCAGCAAGCGCTCCTTTTCATCCAGCTCTTCAGCAGTTAAGGGATCTCCCACCTCTACACATTTAACTTATCATTATTATAATTTACTTGAAAACGGGAAGAGACAAACCAGGAGAACATTAACATACCTTCTGGTTCATCAACATCTATGGAGTCTTTTAACTGATTCTTCTGATGCGTTTGCTGGAAATTCATTAAGTTCATTAAATAGGTACTAAACACAACCCAATAAACGAACAAATGAGTGCTTATGTTACCAAATACCCACCATGAGATAGCGTACTTCCTTTTCATACAGCTCGCTCAGCCTGTGTGTGTTGAAGAACTGGAAATCATGCCTATAGGTAGGAAAGTAACAATTTCAGTCACAAAATAAGCATTATGATCAAAAGAAAAACCTCTTTGTAAGATGCTTACAGCTGAGGCATCCGGGGAATACGGGGCTCTTTCGGCTTAGTAGGG